GGACTGCCTGCGTGCGTGGCACATCATCACAGAGGTCCTGCAGGATCATATTGCCTGGTGTTCAAGTACACCTGATGCTTACAATGATGAAATCACCTGCACCCAAGAACACATTTTCCTGAACAAATCCCCAATGTTAAGTGACACATGTATCATTGGTGCATGCTGTGTATGAACTATCCTGTCTTAACCCTCCAGCTTTATCTCCTACTCCAATGATCCTTTTATCTCAAGAACCTGATGAAGTCATTTTTTTCTGGGCCTCTGCATTCAGGACTGACATAACCACTAAATTCTGTTCCTGAATCGCTTAATAAGCCTCTCACTTAGCTTGTGTCATCTTCCCTACAGGCTGATTGTCCCCATTCAACATCCCCTTCTTGGGGTTTCCTGAATGGACTAGCCCTAATAGCTGTTATTGTTCACTTCTGCTCCCAGACCCTTACTTGGTTAAGGACAGGAACATGTCTTATTGATCTCTTTCTTCCCAACACCTAAGTATAAGGAACACCATGAAACTCATGACGTATACATAGGTTTCTCACAGAGGAAAATATTTGAATGGATTGAAACTTCTTTAAATGTTACAGGAGACAGAGACGGCCTTGATGGAGTGGCTCCAGGAACTGAAAATGAGACAAGAAGATTGGGTTAATTAAAAGTCCCCTCCAGAGAGCAAGATCCCTTGTCCTGAGTGCTGGCAGGGAAGTGCAATGAGAAGCAAGAGCCCTGGGCCCTTTAGTAATGAATCCCACTGGAATTCATTACTTCTTCCTGCAGCTAACTTATGTGATAGAAAAATTGGGCACAGAGGGAACAGTTTTGCTGGATTCCCAAAGCTTCTAATTACAGAAATGGCACCACTTTACTCTAGGCTAAGTGTTCTCCCCTGCGGAATGGCCTCTGTGGTATGCATCCTTTTTTTCCAATCCTAGGCAAAAGCCAGCAAGTGATTGCTAATGCTACTAATGAGCTATGAAAACTTTTAACAAAGGCCCACTGAACATTCAGCTCTGCCACTCAGGGATGTGAAACTGCCCTGGACCACATCCAAGGAACTGTGCGCAAGACTGCGAGTGCAGAAAAGGGATCTAGGGCTACAGGTGGCCAAAGGAAGACTTGAAAGCCCTGTGGTCACGCAGCTGTCCATCAGGTCCTCTGAGCCCCACTGATGCATCGCCTGACACAGGCATGAAAGTCAGGGAGAAGCAAGTGCTCTCTGACTGAGCAACCATTTTTCAATTCTTGCAACATGAAAACCGAATAAATACAGTAATACAGGGCCTTATAGAGCCAACAGGAATTGCTATCAGAGCAGAAAGAAAGCATTATGTGATCCTCAGTAGACATTGCCAACCTGCTTCTTTTACTTCCTGCCTGTTCTTGGAGACTGGGAGGCTGAGAGGCAATTGCCTCCAGAGGATTTCTGAGAGACCATATTTCCCGAAAAGATCAAGCAACCAAACATGACTGTGTACTATGCACAGCACAGGGTCCGTGGGTTGAGCCCTCTCTCCACACCCTTCCTCAACAGTACTGACCACCAGGATGCTGTACACCTGAGTGTCCTCTTGTTCCAACAGTGCCATGCAGATGCATGTGAATGTGACCTGTGTGCACAGCAAGTGCCTATGAATACCTGGAAAAAGCAGAAAATAAGTGTCATCCCTCAAATATCTGTGGGGGACTGCTTTCAGAATCCTCTGCAAATACCAAAATCCTCGGGTGCTCAAGTCCCTCATTCGAAATGGCCTCATATTTGCATAGAACATAGGCACACCCCTCCCATATATATACATTTTAAATATATTTTTTAGTTGTTGATGGACCTTTATGTGATGCTAGGAAATTGAACCCAGTGTCTCATATATATGAGGCAAGTGCTCAAATTATTTCTAGATGGCTTTTAATATTAATTATGTAATTGCTACATAAATAGTAATTATACTGTATTCTTTAGGGAATGACAAGAAAAAGAATCTGTACATGTTCAATATGAACATAACCGCAGTAAGGCTAACTACATAGTACATGTCAGCAATTTTTTTCCCCCAGACATTTGCAACCTGTGGTGGATTCTGAGGATACCACAGAGGTTCATTCCCAGTGTATGCAAGAATTTAATTACAAAGAATTTTTAGTGTGGTTGATAAAAGTAGTTGTTTAACTAAAGGATATAAACAAATAGGTCAACACAACAGGGCTCCAAGTATGCTGTGTCCTACCACCAAAGGAACTCTGGGGCCTTCCCAAGTAACACAGTCACTCACAGCATCAAAAGGACCGGGGAAATCTCCGACCAAGAAACAAGCTCAGACACACACTTGATAGACTCCCAAGACTTTGTACAAAGGAGAAAGTAAGTCAGCATGATGCACAAATCATTCTGAGGCAAATTACTGAAAACTCAAGGGTCCATGTGTTTTCTTGGCCACTCTACTCTAAATCCCACAGCCTGTCCCCACCCACAAATATTAAGCAGTGTTTGACGCATTCCCCTAGGAACTTAGGTGAGGAATGACGCCTATGCAGGCAGAACAAAAGCCAAGCAGTGAGCTAAGGAAGCTCAAAAAATGGCAATGTGGGAGTGGGAGAAGGCAGAAGGCTGCAGGGACAGGGGATGTAGCTCAGTGGTAAGCTCTAGGTGGGAAGGGGGGGGGGAGGGAGGGAGAGACGGAAAGGACTATGAGGCCTTCCAAGGAACCAAGCAAGAGCAGAAGAAACAAATCTGGCCTCAAAGTCAGAGTCCACCCCTGTGAGCACCCACCCTTTAAACACCTAGGATAGTCATAGGCTGTATTAAATCAATTGCTGCTTCTTCTCCACGGTGGGATGAGTTGATTGGCAGATCCTATACAAGGGAGTGAACACAGTCCACAGCAACAAGATCTGTGTGTGCAGTTTGAGATCCTTGTTGGTTCTCCAGGCCCATTCTTAGCCTCCTCGGTGTGAAGCTTGGACTCCCATGGGCTGGAATACCACTTTGTAATGATGTCACGTGTATCTGGCTGCTGTCGGTACCTGAGACTTTATGTCTTAAGTATCTGAGACAGAGTTCTCAGAAAGCTGGTGGAAAAACGAAGAATAAGAAGTGGAAAGTATGGGCGCTTGTTAATTACCTAAGTTCTACATACAAGATAATATCTTAAGAAAAAAACAGTTGAGTCATTTCATCTAAAGTAAGGTAAAGATCTTCTAATACATCTCTGTATTAGAAGTACTGGCCAATGCAATCAGACAAGCAAAACCAGAGACTAAGAATGGGTACACAAGTAAAGCTATCTCAATTTGCTGCATAGTATACTTGAAAAAAACTCGGAAAAGCAATGATAAAACTAAAAAAAAAATAATTCAGTGAAGCAGCAGGTTATAAAATTAAGACATAAAATCAGTAGTTTTCATATACACAAATTGAATAGAAGATGTAATGGCATAAAAAATATTACTTCTGATGAACGATTAAATACCCAAGGGAAACTACATAATGTTTTAATTGGAGAGGTCAAGAGGGGTTTTATGAAATGTTAATCCTTCTTTCTTGACTTGGTGGTTTTAAGGATGTGTTCTTGTGATAACTAACGGAACTGTCCACTCATTAACTAAGCACCTTTTTTAATGTTTATGTCACATTTCAATAAAACCTCTTTTTAAACACCTCCTGTGTTATAGTCACCATACAAATTACCTCGATACTTACTAATACAACCTGGCAATTTCACATTCCTAGAGAAAGTAATGCTCCAAAAGGTATGCACAAGATATCGTGTAGTGTAGCAGCATTATCCATAACATGGAAAGATGGAAACAACTAATTGTACCATCAGCAGAAGAGGAAATAAATTGATATAAAACAGAGGACCACTGTCTCATAGTAAAATTGAAAGCATAGCTCTTTTCATCCTGATTCACTGATAAACCACCCCCACTACCAATAATCTGGCCACCACTACACCTAACTTGAATTCTGCAATGGCCTTCCAGCTGGCTTTTGGTGTGTACCTTGATCCCGTCATCCTTCTGAAAATATAAACCAGGTAGTGATCACTCTTCTGTTCAAAACCCTCCACTGACTATCTGCCACACTGAGAACAGAAGGAAAAGTTCTTCCAGTTCACTCACAAAACGCTCCATGATCTGTTCCCAGGGTACAGCTCTGACCTCATCAATCGTGAGGCCCAAACTTGCTCCACTCATCCTACTGACACTTCTACAGTTGCAAGGCTGGCCCAAGCAGAGTTGTATGTCACTTTTGAACCGCCAAGAGTTCTCATCCCCAGATTACACTGTCACATGCCCTAAGCATACCTCTGTTCAAACGAACCTTTAAGTGAAAAGCCTTCCTTACCCACCCAATGGCTCCACTCTTGTCATCACCATGCTTAATGCTTCCTCCCACTATATTTGTCACACCTGATGCACAACATCCTTATTTATCAAATGTCCCAATCCCACCTAAAACATAAGCACCAAGAGGGCAAGAATCCCCAGTCCAACCCTGGGCATCTCAGACCAATGGCTGAGGTAAGAGGCATGGACTCTGGAGCCAGACCCAGGGTTGAAATCCAAGCACTACTGCCTGCCAACAGGCTGGCTTCAAATAAGCAACCAAGAATCTTTTGTCTGAGATTTCCCCTGTGCAAAATGAAGATGCAGACAACACTTGCTTCCTTGGACTTTTGTGAAAACTAGCAGCAGTCCCTGACTTAGAATGGTTTGACTTAGGACTTTTTGACTTTAGGATGGGTTTATCAGGACATACCTGAACAGTAAGCCAAGGAACACCTGTGGACTTCTAACAAAAAATAAGTCAAGAAAATAAATGTCTAAGTACATCAAATACTTAAAATATAATTTTAAAATCTGGTTTAAAGAATTCAAAAACCTTTATCCAATAATTCAAAATATACACATTATACCCACACACAAAAGTAGAAGTTATCAAAACTCACCAAATACCAAATGCTTCTTCCCACCAAGAAATAAAATAAACAGAAATAATATTCATAGCGCCATAAGCCAGTAATCAGTTTTATTTCTTCTCATGTAATAGTAGGTCTGGAAGTAACAAACCCAGGGCTGGCACAGACACTCGGAGGCCACAGGGAAGCCCTGCTCACTGTGACTTTGCTGTAGCATCCTCCTTAGACTGGCTTTTGCCTTCACAGCCACAAATCTTTCAACACTAGGAGCTCAATCTCCTTGCAAGGTGAGACGTAGGGAGAAAAGAACCAAATGTGGAGAGAAGAATCTAGGTAAGAAGGACTAGTTTTCAAGAGCTTTTTCTCAGAAACCCACACAGTGGCCTCTGCTTATTTGTCAATGGCCAGGGTTATGGGATGCAGACAGTACCAACTGCAAGAAAATCTGTTTAAGAGACATTAAAAAATAGCACACCTTACGAATATGAGATTTGAATTCTTTTGATATGGAAGATGACAGTGGATGCAACTAGAAGTCTATGCCATTCTTGGCTGGATAGCAGGCCACAAACATACCAAAGGATCCATATAATGAAGACTTCATGCTTTGATCACAATGCATCTGAAATCAGATACCAGTAATTGGTACTATAAAATACCTATGTCACCAAGTATGTAACACAATTCTAAATATGCCATTGGTCAAGAAAGTTATCCAAAATGAAATTAGATATTTTAAGAATGAAGCTACAGTAAAAATACTATATACAAACCTTTTGTGATGAGGCCTAATGGTTATCTAGAAGAGCATAACCTTAAAAATAAAGACTAGAAATTCATGAGCTAGGGCCTGTTTTCATGATGAAGGACTGAGAAATGCAATCCTGCGTTCACTGGAGAATATCATCAAAGCTTCTCTCCCAGTGAGAATTCTCATTTGCACAAGTGAAGGGACACATAGAGATTATCAGCAATGTTAAGTTCTTACAAATTTCTTCAAAGAACCATGTTAATTAAAAAAAAAAAAATTAAAAAGAAATTTCCTCTAGTTTGGTGCTGACATTAATTATTCTTAACCTCAGCGTACTGTTATTGTAGGGCACACAACTCTGAAGTGGGGGGGCAGGGGCTCCTGGGCACTGTAGGATGCTTGGCACCATCCTAATGTCTTCCCACTACCTGTCAGTGGCTCCTCCCCCAGTAACAACCAAAAATGTCCCCTGGGGAACAAACCCCTACCTGTTGAGGAGCACTGCTGTGGACCAAGGCTCAGCAAAGCTTTTCTATAAATAGCAAGCATTTCAGGCTTTGAGGGCCACAGAGGGTCTCTGCACAAACTCTCCTCTTAAAATGGAACAACTATTCTTAGTTTATGAACCATACAAACACAGACAGCTGGTTAGTTTGCTCACCCCCTTTATGGACTTCCCACATTCCTCACCCCATAGATTTTTCTCTTCCGTGTGATTTATCTCATGAGGAATGGAGTGTGAGAATGAAAAGATTTCCCCCATCACTGCACTGACAAAAATTCTCCCTAATGTGTCCAAAAGGTTGAGAAAGTGTCGCTGAAATTATTTCTTTTTTTTTTTGGTGGGGATGGGACCCAGGGCCTCATGCGTGCTAGGCAAGCACTCTACCACAGGGCCACAGTCCAGCCTGCTGAAGTTCTCACATGTTTACAAATTAGATGTACACTGAAGGCTTTTCCACACCAGATACATCCCCCCACGGTGTTGTTCTCCCAACTGATGAGAAACAACTTGTCTTCTCACAGGCTTCACACCAACTGGATTTCTCCTACGTTCCATGAACTCTTTTGTGCTCTGTAAGGTGAGAGCTTCTCCCTCACATCTGAAGGTTCCTTTCTGGTCCGAGTGTTCCCGCCGCCGACTGGAGTGCTCACTGGAGCCTCTTCCACACTGAGGCCGGGAAGAGCTTCTCTCCCCGGTGCGTCTTCATATGGCTCCTAAGGGATGAGTGGTCGCTGAAGGCCTTCCCGCAGGCAAGGCACTCGTAGGGCTTCTCCCCGGTGTGAATCCTCCTGTGCACGTTGAGGTTGGAGCCTATGCTGAAGGCCTTCCCGCAATGGTCGCACTCATAGGGCTTCTCTCCCGTGTGGCTCCTCATGTGGGTCTTCAGGGTGGACTGGTTCCTGAAGGCTTTCCCGCACTGCCGACACTCCACATGCTTCTTTACCAGATGGATGCTCATGTGCCTCCTCCGTGACAGATAATCACCAAAGATCTTCCCGCAGGCTGCGCATTCATAGCGTCTCTCTTGAGTGTGGATCTTCCTGTGTGCAGTGAGGTTGGAGCTGGCGCTGAAGGCTTTCCCACAGAGATCGCACCCGTAGGGCTTCTCTCCTGTGTGAGAATTCATGTGTGTCTTCAGGATGGACTGGTTTCGGAAGGCCTTCCCACACTGGCGACATTCCACTGGTTTCTTCACAATATGGATTCTCATGTGTTTCCTCCGTGACAAGAGGTCACCAAAGGATTTCCCACATTCTTTGCATTCATAGGTTTTCTCCACCATATGGTTTTTCTTGTGCAAATTAAAGTTAGACTTCCAGCGGAAGGCTTTGCCACACTGTGTGCACTCGTAGGGCTTCTCCCCGGTGTGATTCCTGACGTGTTCTTTCAGGTGTGAGGGGTGCTGGAAAGCTTTCCCACAGTCCTGACACTCATAGGGCCGCTCCCCAGTGTGTGTTCGCTTGTGTGCAATGAGGTGGCAGCTCCTGCCGTAGGCCTTGCCACACTCATCACACTTGTAGGGTCTCTCGCCAGTGTGGACCCTCATGTGGATCTTCAGGGCCGAGAGGGTGCGGAAGGCGTTCCCACACTGACTACAGTCGAAGGGCTTCTCTTTGAGGTGTGTCCGTGCGTGGCTCCTGAGGGCAGAGGGGTCGTTGAAGGCCTTCCCACAGTCGCTGCAGCCATAGGGCTTCTCCCCAGTGTGGATCCTCCTGTGCCGGGTGAGGGAGGCGCTCGTGGTGAAGGCCTTCTGGCACTGCTGGCACTCGTGCATCTTCCTCCCATCATACACGTTCACGTGCTGAGTGAGGGGCGTCCTGCTCTTGAAGGCTGCCCCGCAATGGTGGCGATGGTAGGGCCTCTTGCCGGGGTGTCTCCCCATTGGCTGAGTGAGATGAGCACCCATGCTGAAGACTTGAAACAAGTGGGCGTATTCAGTGGACTTCTCCCCAAGATGAGCTCTTTCCTGTTGGTTAAGAGGAGAGCTGACTGGGTTATTTTCCACAAACACTGCATTCTTCTTCCTCTTTTTTCTTTTGGCACTGGGGATCGAACCCATGGCCTCATGCATACTAAACTCGTGCTCTACCACTGAGCTATACCCCAGCCCCTTTCAGCCTAAACATTCAAAGGTAGATGCTCACCACTGGGACTGAAGATGCCATCATCCGCAGTGCCAATGTGCTGTTCCTGTCTCACTGGAACTCTATCCAAGAGGAAAGGCAAATGCTATACTATAAGGCTCCATGTGTGCTACTTTTTCAAAGCTTTCTTGCAGCTTGTTTACTCTTTAAAACCAAATTAAGCTAAACACGGCAATACACATCTATAATCTCAGCTAGCTACTCTAGAGGCTGAGGCAGTGGTATCCTAAGTTTGAGGTCTGCCTTGACAACTCAGTGAGACTCTGTCTCCAAATAAAATGTAAAAAGGGTTGGGATGTAGTTCAGTGATAACAGCACTTGCCCAGCATATGCAAGCTGCTAGGATCAATCCCCAGCAATACAAACAAACAAACCCTCACACACACAACCAAATTGAGCTCAAATACTCAACATCTAAGATAAGTTATGGATTTTGTATTTGGGGTTTTTGTTTTGTTTTGTTTTTGGTTCTAGGAATTAAACTCAAGGGTACTTTACCTCTGAGCTACATCCTTAGCTCTTCTTATTTTTTATTTTGAGACTGGGCCTTGCTAAATTGCTATGGTTGGCCTCAAACTTGCCACCTCCTGTCTCAGCCTCCGAAGTTGTGGGGATTTCAGGTGTGTACCACTGTGCCCAGCAAGTTATAAAAAATATTTATCCATCAAAATTCTTGAGTAAGTCTGAAGCTAAATTTAGGATTTTTCTCCAAATTAAAAAAAAAAAAATTGCATCTGTATTAAGTACATATACATTTTTCTTGTCATTATTCCTTAAATAACACAGAAAAATGAATATTTAAATATCATTTTTTTCTACATTGGTTATTAAAGACAATCTAGAGATAATTTAAAGCATACGGGAGGATGTGTGTAGTTCCATGCAAATACTATGTCATTTTATATGAAGGACTTGAGTATCCGCAGATTTTGGTCTCCATAGGAGACCTGAAACTGTTCCACAGGTCTCGTTCTTAAGCAGCTTTGCCAACTCCAGCTGCTTCTCTAATGGGGAAGATCCAGAATTATCTCAGGTAAATCTTACCATTGTCACACCACTGGATGTTTCCTTCCCAAAAATATCTTCCATGAGGATTGACCACTTGGTCTTAGATGGAGTCTCCCAATCTGAAATAAAATTAGCAAAATACTAACTTGATGAAAAAATAAAATGACAGTTACAAAACAGGCAGACTTTGCAAATACTACCTGTACGCAAGAAAATGCAAAAGGGAAGAACACACAATAGCAAAATAATTGTTGAAAATGTGGCTACGTGAGCTGTTTAGAAATGATGGCAGGATAAATTTAAGTCAGTTCAGATAGATATTCAAATAGTGCATGATCAGGAAGGCCAAGCATAAAAGAATGAGACAGACAACACAGAAACATTAAATTAAACAGGGCAAGTTGGCCACAGTGGCGCACACCTGTAATCTCAGCAACTTGGGAGACCGAGGCATGAGGATTGCAGGTTCAAAGCCAGCCTTAAGCAACTTGGCAAGGCCCTAAGCAACTTAGTGAGACCTTGTCTCAGTCATAAAATACCCCTAGATTTAATCCCTAGCACCTCAATAAACAAAGAGGCATAGAGAACCAAGGACTTGTGCGAGAATGAATGGCCAGTAAAATAAAGACAGCATTTTCTAATTTCCTCAGGTGACATTACCTAATAGACCTCCCTGCTAAAGTATGGAAGTCATCTGTCCCCCAGAGGCTTATGTGCTGGAGGCCTGGTCCTCAGTGTGGTCATATAAAGGTGGTGGAACTCTGAAGATATAGTAGGGCCTGCTCAGATGGAGAGATACTGTTCTCCTGGGTGAATTAGTTCTGATAAAAGTGGGCTGTTAGGAAATCAGTGAGATCGGCCCTTCCTCAGTATCTTGCTTTCTGTCTTACCACAGGACCTTTCCTTCTAATACACTCCCTCTGAGATGCCATCTGCCAAACTGTGACACAGTATAATGTGCATGTGTTGGGGGTGGAGGAATGACACTTTCCAGGATAACGAGTCTCCAGTACTGTGAACTAACGAGACCTCTTTTCTTTACACACTACCCAGCCTTGGACATTTTTCTAGAAACAGAAAATGGCCCATGCACTCCCTCACTCCAGTCGCTGTCTCGAGTGGACAGTCTAAAGACTCCTATTCGCCCTCATGCTTGCTCACCTGGACAGGTGCCATGCTGACTGCCCCTCTCCTCTGTCCTCGGCTCTTCTTCTTGCTCCAAGTGTGAGATGAGGCTGGGTTTGCCAACCTGATACCCTACTCACAGGGAAAGACATGTTGAGGGAGGACTGTGCAGAGGACAACCCTTCCATTAGACTGCGGCCAACATTTTGATCTTCAGGGTTCTGAAGGTGGAGTCTGACTTAAGAGTAACAAAATGATGGTGCCTCATTTCTAAGAACACAGTGAATCTTTAAAAACAAAAACACATGAAACCACACCCACACATTTTCTCTCCAAAAGAATGGGGATTTCTTATTTCAGGAGCCCATGTCCAAGCTCAGAACACAAACGTGGGTGTCTCCAAAATCAATGCAACAATCAGGGTTCAAAATCTCTGGGAGACACCATGCGGGTGGGCACTGGTTCTGCTCATTCAGTCATGTTTCCAACCCCTGCCTAGTTTCTGAGTCACTGAAAATACTTGAACGAAAACATCTGGTTCTGGTAAGAACAAATTCTGAATGCGGCCAGGGTTACCTAGTGAAGTGAGGTTGCTATAGTTCTCCAGCATCACATCTTTGTACAGCTTTCTCTGAGAAGAATCCAGCAGGGGCCACTCTTTCTCAGTGAAGTCCACAGCTACATCCTGGAAAGTCACGGATTCCTGAAACACCACACACACCTGGGGTAAGAAGCCTGTCAGAGTTCACAGGAAGATGGAGGAGGCTGAAGACTGGACTTCCAGCTGGTGTGCTCTCAAACATCGTCTCTTCCCCATGAGGTGATCTTATGCTATCTCTCTGCTTCAAATACAATTCTGCGAGGCACCGAGTCTCCAGTACTGTGAACTAATGAGACCTCTTTACACACTACCCAGCCTAGCTTTACCCCCAGCCCCAGCCGTATCTAGGATTGAGCATGGGTAGGTCTGAGTACTCTGTAAGCAGAGAGAAATTCTTGCTACATAAATCACTTCCTGTGACTTCCCCGATACTAGGACAAGTTTGCCCTTCCCTGGCTATTTCTGGGGTCCTGGTCAGGCATCTGCCAGAGTAAGGAGGATCTGAAAAAATTTAATGTGCAATGATGAAGGTATTCTAGAAAACAACTCTACCCCTCAGGGCCCCGAGACCTTGTATACCTGAGAAGAAACACTGGGTGGTGTAGGAGGCTCCAGACCATGGGAAGCAAATAGGTCTAAATTCTGGGGACAGGAATGGTGTTTTGAAGACAGAGGAAATTCTGACTCTTGGAGAAAAGCAGGGCTCTGGGTGGACACAGCTACAGGAGAAAAGAAGCTCCATGAGAATCTCGT